GCCCATATTGTCAATTTCTTCAGGTCCTTCCATGATTACCTTCCTTGTTTGGTTTCTCAGGGTCCCTCTTCTTTTCTTCTTTCAAGTATTTTTTAAAATTGTTTTTAGTTGTAGATGGACACAATATCATGTTTTCTAACTTTTGAGTGAAGGCTTCTCTGGGTCTATCTTCAGTCATTTGAATCTAGGTTCTAAGTCCTCCATGCCTGATGGTGTGTTCAGGTACCCAAATAGGACAAAAAGCACCTTCTGGAAAAATACAAGTGTGACCTCTGCCCCACATAATCACTGGGTCTTGTCCTTTCCATTTATCAGTCTGTAAGTCCTAAAGGGCCTGTTGCTGTGAAAGAGATGTGTCACTCAGTGCAGTGTGACCTTCTGAGTCATAATTTAGAAAATTTAAAACAAATAGAGCATTATTGAGGTTATATTGGGGAGTCATAGTCCTATATCCCCCTTTTAGTTTTTGTAATTGTAGCTTAATAGATAAGTGAGCTCATTCTACAATGGCTTAACCTTGAGGGAATATGGAATATTTCTTATGGAATAACTGCTTTATGGTAAATCCAAAACTCTTGATGAAATTGTTGAAAAGAAGAGCTTACATAAGCCAGTGGATTATCAGTTTTAATCTGTATCATAGTGAGGTCCTAAGCAACTTAGCAAGACTCTCTTTAAAAATCAAAAGGACTGGGTAACAAAATCAGTAAGAAATGTTAAAAGATCCATTTTACAGGTATATGCATGGTGGTGAGCAGGTGATTACCTGGATAAGGCCAGCCTGTAGTTTAACCAGGCAAGTTAGAAAGTCACTGGCCCACATAGAGGGGCATTGTGCAGGCTTTTCAGGCATTTTCAACATAACCCCATGATGCACATTTTGTCCTCACTGATTAATTCTCTCAGTTCTCTTTGATTTATTGGTTTTGACCTCTTTTCCTTCTTGTTTTCCTGACTATTGAAATGATTCTGATTGCAAAATGGCTGAACTCCTTTTACCTCTGACTGTCTGCTGACTCATAGAATTCAGTGACTTCACATTTAGTAATAAATAAAAAAAAGGTCGTCTGTGGATTTGTGTTTACAAGCAGTTCTGCAGCATTTTGTAACTGTGTTGGGAGTGTTCTGGGAGATGTGGAAAAAAATATGTAACCCATGTGAAGTTGAAACATCAACCAGTATTTTTAGAAGGTCTCTTGAACTTTCAATGAAAAATGGAATTACAAGATTTTGCTCCAGGGCCCTGCTTTTTGATGGTAGTAATTAGCTATGTAACTGTATATGGTGAGTTAAAATTTCTGGGGCTTAGTTGCTCTTTCATAAAATGATAATTATAGCCATACATGTCTCATAGAATTGTTGGATGGGTTGTGCCAGTTAATGAAGGAGAAGTCCTTACAACAACAACAACAACAAAATATTAGAAAAAAAAAGTAGAAGGAATTGGACGTCACTTTCCTATGTTCATATATGAATACATGACCAGTAAAATTCCACATAACTTACAACCACAAAAATGGCATCCTAATTTGAATAAGTTATACTCCATGTATGTATAATGTCAAAATACAATCTTCTTTCATATATATCGAAAAACCACAAATAAAAATTTAAAGAGTTAAAAAATAAACACTAGCTATTTTTCTTGAGGTAAGGGGTGTGTGGGGGTGTGGTGTACATTTCTCTCTCTGCACTCCCAGTTGAGAAACCTCTCTAGACTTTAGGGCTCAGAGCTTCCACGGCAGGTGTGTCTTTTTTGAGATCCTGCCTATTCCACCTTTGTGCATCATGATCATAGGATCTCTTGGTTCCTGACTGAACTGCAGGAACTTATGGACTTTAATATATAAGATAAGTAGAATAATGAGGAAAAGGTGTGTTTTATATCAATCCTGAGAGAGCCAGGAAGTCCTGAGCAAGTCCTGTGATTCAGATAATAAGACCCGTGGACATCTTAGGTCAATTCTAGGCAATACCCATCACCTACATGAGGAAACAAGTCTAGGCACACCCAACAGCTCACACTTCCTTTTTCTTTAGTTTTGTTGATTCTGCTGTTTTTATACTTTTTGAAAAATGATTGAGTTTAAAAAAGGAAAGAATGAGTGAGTCAAATTCTGCTACAAGTTTCAGTAAAGTATTCTTTAACTTCACAGAACTCATCCAAATTTATAATTTAAAATCTATATATCTGGGTCTGTTTTATCTTGCTGTTTAGTGTTTCATTCCCCCAACAAAGGTTAAAATTCATGAAAGCCAAGTTTCTGGATAGTTCATGTGTAATGCTTGACACAGGTCCTGAACACAGTGGGCATACATCTCATTCAACCTGCAGTGACTATGGTGTGAGGAACATTCCTCCTTCAGTCCAAGAGGATGTGTTCCTGGACCTGACAGTCTTCACACCACTCCAAACACAAAACCCAGAGTACTTGGCTATTCCCTCTCCCCGCCACAAATCTTAGATACTTCTGCCTCCCAAAGTTGGCAAGATGAAAATAGTCCCTACTTAAAAGAAAGAGCATTTGAGAGCTGAGTTTAAAAAATCATCTTTTTTTTTTCTTTCATTTCATTCTTTTTTTTCTTTTTGCATACTTAATATTATGACCTGTGAGTTTTGAATATAAAACAAAAGCCAACACCATGAGCAATTTATTTGCCAGTAAAAGTAATAACAGGCTTCTGAAAAGAGATATTATGTGGGCTGACGATGCACAAGAGAATGGACTGTCCCATGCCAAGAAAGAAGCTCCACCTTCAAACTTGCTAAGAATGTTTTTTCTCATACCTTTATGATTACTTTATTTGGAATCCTACAATTGCATGTTCATGTGTGCCCCTCTCAAATCAGCATGGTATCTGGGGCTGAGTGTCTATATAACCACGTACTTAGAGCAGACCTTTATACTTAAACTATGGAACAAATGCAGGTGTCTTTCAACACATGAATATATAAAGAAAAAAATATATACACACACACACACACACACACACACACACACACACACAATGAAATATGACTCAGCCTTAAAGAAGAATAAAATGGCATTTACTGGTAAATGGATTTACCAGTAAATTTTTTTACCAGCAATATTATGTTAAGCAAAAAAGACAATCCCCCCAAACCAAATTTCAGATATTTTCTCTGATATCTGGATGCTAATTCACAATAGAGAAAGGTATAGAAAAGAATAGAACTACTTTGGATTAAGTAGAAGTGTGTGAAGGGAACAAAGGGGGTTTATGAGTAGGAAGTATAGTAGAATGGATCTCTTGGTTGTATATGATGTAGAGTTACCTGGATTGTGTAATTATATATGCACATAAAGTAATACTGTCTGATTCATTTTATTTTATTTTATTTATTTTATTTTGAGAGAGGGTCTATCTAAGTGGCATAGGGCTCAATGAATTTCTGAGGCTGGTTATAAACTTGCAATCCTCCTTCCCCAGCTTCCAGAGTCTTGGAGATCACAGCAAGGAATAAGTTGTCCTACTGCTCAAGATAAATTAGGAAAGACTATACCAAAATAGGTGCTGTGGGACCTGGGTTTTGAAGGGTAAGCTGAAGTCTTTTGTTAGGCACAAAAACATTCTAGGTGCAAATATTTATGTATAAATATATAGCCAAATATTTATGGATGTAGCTTGTTTTGATGAAAGTCTCATGTATTATCATGTCAGCAGCTATGGTGCCATGAACGCATAAGGCGATTAAGTGCTAATGGCTTTGCTTGAGTTCTCATAATATAATATAACGTTTGAAATTATTGATTACACAGTGATGTATTGATTTTTCCACCAAATATAAACTAAGCATACTACAGAAGTTCCAGGCCAGATATAAAATCTAGGTCTGGCCACTCACCCCCAAAATCAAACGCAAAGGGTAATTGTAAAAAGCAAGTAAAGTACTTTAATCTGTTTAGCCACCCCAGGAAGACATATTTTAGGCATGTCTTCAGGGTGCTGATTTGACCTGAAGGCTTTAATAGAATAAGAATTAGGGCAGTGGGGAAGAAATATGCATTATTAAGCAATCTTGCACAAACTGTAGTCTCATAGATCACTATCTCAGTTCTAGCACTGTGAGGTGGCTCCTGAGAAGTCCTAATCACTTGAAAGGGGTAAATTTTTACTGCTCAGGATGTTCATCTACCAGACCTGGAATCCTAGAAGAGGCAATGTAGATGTCATGATATGATTCCTTTTGTTGAGGGAACAGTCTCTTCATAGTGATCTGTCTACAAGGCTCTGCCATTCCTGGAAAAAAATGAAAAATGAATAAGAAATTCTAGGCACAACTATGGGGCTCTGAAAAAAAGCTACTTTAAAAGCTGACAATCAGGGCTTGGGCTATAGTTCAGTTGGTAGAGTGCTTTCCTTGCATGCACAAGGCTCTGGGTTTGATCCTCAGCACCAAAACAAACAAAACAAGACAAAACTAAACAAAAAAATCCCCCAAAAGGTGGCAATCAAATGTTGCTTCAATCTTGCTTCAATCTTCAAGGTGGTATTAGATTAGATATATTTGGGGCTAAAAATTCTTATTTTGCTGGTTTTTAGATAAGCACGCCTTAAATAATTAACATGTCTTGTGAAAAGCTGTGTAGTCACAAATATTAGGTTAGTAAAGGATACCTATTAAAGGCAGAATGCCGAGATTTATTCTGCTTTTAGTTACCCATTGGACAGCTGCTGGCCTCAAATTTAATGAAATTACCAAAGGAAGTTTGTTTAAGTCAATGGTTTAAAAGATCAAATGAGGAGAGTGCATGATTCTTTGCAAACTGCAAAGAGGTCACCTGACCCCTCCAATTCCAGGAGATGCATAGATGCCCTTTCCACTGGCTACATGCCTGGCCACATCTCCTTTCCTAGCACATAAATTGGCTTCACTGAATTACAGCTTGACACATTTTGGTAAAAAAAAATTCCCACATAGAAAAAAAAAAAAAAAAAAACAATTCAGAAGACAGAACTGCTGAAGAAAAGTGGTGATGGACCTGATCCCCAATTTTTCCATAGAGACCTGGATCCTCCTGGCTATCTTCCTGATGCTCCTATATCTGTGAGTAGTTGTCCAGTATTCTCTCCTCTGTAACCCTGGAGGTGGGGACATAATCATGTTCCTCTTTCCCTTTTCTATTTGAAGATCAAAAGAGATGATAAAAATGAAATTTCTATAAACACTTAAAAAGTTCCTATTGAGCTTAAGCAGACCACTTGAGCTCCCTGCCCTCAATATTCCTGTGGATAGGGCAACTGGTGTTGAGATTTGTTTCTGGGTTTATCTGATTGGTTCTGTATTTGCATCTAGAGGAAGAAACCAGAATTCAGCATATACAGCTAAATAATAACTATTATAATATTCAGTGGGAACATCACTCCCTTTCAAACTTAGGGAATTCTGGGGACAACCAGTTTACTTGGGTTTTGTCTCTTTTTGGATTTCTGCCTATTGCAGAAGACATGCAAGAGGACTATCCCCTGTTCATGTGGTGACTCCTGCCCCCTCTTGCCCCCAGCACCATCTATACACCACACCAATTTCCTCACAGACTCCCTGGAAGGTTGACTGCATAATTCCCTCTTTTTATCCTGGCACTTCCCTCCCTTATAAAATTCAATTATTTCACCCTGAAATTCACAGAACTGTTTTCTTCTAAATGATAAGTGTCTAGAGCAGAGAATACCTGACAGAAATTTTAAGAAGTTTTATTGTTTCCTTTTGTATTATTTTTGCTCTCTCTGAGATATTAGCCTCATAAAGAGACTTATTTCCCCCTCAATATGAAATCTTTTAGCAGCCTGAACAAAATCACAAAGCCAATTTGGGTTTACTTTTTTTTCTCTACACTCCAACATGAACTCATGAATGAATATCATCTAGTAGGGAAATTGCTTTTACTAATGGGATCCTGACATCATGAAGCAGAGGGAAAGAGGTTATTTTGAGTGTGGGTAGGAGAGATTCCACACAGGTCACATCTGACATTTGTCTCAATTTCATTCTTAAAAGTAAGGAATCAAAATAGCATGAAAATGAAAATATAGATCTGGCTTTTATTCTCTGAAAGAAAAAGTACTAATTCAGGGTGTTGTGGCAACATAATCTTCTCTCTGCAGAGATTTTCTAGTGAATCAATGTAGTTTAATTTTACTGTATGTAATGACAGGATTTGTAAAGAGTATGTGAAAACTATACTGCCTTAAACATTCTCCTCCAAAGAAGCAGCAAGTACTTATTCAACTGTCTGGAACACATTATGGGTTCTTATTTTATGTTGCATATTGTCTGCTCTGTCGCCAGGACTGTAACTGAATTTTGGAAGGTCACCTTCCATGTATCTAAAAGGAATTGCTGGTCATTTTGAGCTATTTAAACATGCCAGACTTTTATTTTCTGTGCTACTATGGGGCAATCTTTGCAAGACTGGTTGTTTCGTGATTGAAGTAGCTGCCAGGAATATCTTGTTCACCATTTTCCTTTCATCTATTATCAATGCTGATAGGGGTGAAGATTTTAGGATCCAGAAACCTCAGGCATGGGGCTTTTAACATGACACATCTGTGTTGCAGGTTGGCCAGCCCAAGGAAGCACCAGTCTTTGTGGGTTTTCATACAAGGAGAGTTGATGTGTAGAGGCAATAAACAAAACTGTTTTGTGATTGACTGCCTTGGTAAACATGAACATGCCTGACACTGTGCTGCCATCTGAGCATCACCAGTTGGAAGATCAGACTCAATGAGAGGAGGAATGGCCTGGAGATGATTCCTCAGTCATTTATTCCTCATAGAAGCACTAAGAGTATAAGGGAACTTGTGAACGTCTAGTGCGTTCGGGTCCCTGGGTAAGGGTCGCGAAATCACCGGGACACAGGGGATGCAGAGCCAAGGCAGCGATTGCAACTGCATGCTGAGGTTTATTTGCAAGTTCCTTTTATATTCTTTTTTTAATTCTTTTTTATTGTTGGTTGTTCAAAACATTACATAGTTCTTGATATATCATATTTCACATTTTGATTCAAGTGGGTTATGAACTTCCATTTTACCCCATATACAGCTTGCAGAATCACATCAGTTACACTTCCATTGATTTACATATTGATATACTCATGTCTGCTGTATTCTGCTGCCTTTCCTATCCTCTACTATCCCCCTCCCCTCCCTGTTATATTCTTTTTCTAACAAAGCAAGCAATGCTTCAATAACATTTCATCTACATTGCCCAAATATCATGTCTCAGCGGGTACACAGAGCTAAATTCAGATTGTTCCTGTTTATTTGATAAGTACCCTCCCAAAGTTGTTTGTAGACATTATCTAATCCCCGAATGTACTGTTCCCAGGTCCAGTATGCAGAAAGCTTCCTCCTCTTGGCCAGACCATGCAGGACTTGTGAATTTGCGATAAAGGGAAGAGAACGTTTTCTCCTCCTAGCTGATGGCTTGCCTCAGCTGACCTTAATCACAGCTACAGCCCTTGCAAAAAGTCAGGCCTGAGGGAGCTAAACTCTGCACACTTAAACCCCAACAGGAACTCAGCCTTCCTTCTTGCTCAAGTCACTTAGATTGTCTGACAATGGATTTGGGTGACACTCAACATGGCTCACATTGGTATGAAGCCAATGGAAGTCCCAGTTTTCTTAAATGTCACATTTGTCATTCAACAGAAATAAGAATACTATGACTGCTTCCAAGTATCCATGTGAAGTTAAATTTAAAGAAAGGCTGAATGCTGAACCAGAGACATGGCATAGAAAAAAGGAAAAATATGAAAGGTTTATGTCCAAATTGCAAGAAACAATGTTACCATAGGTTCTCAGTGGACACTCTGTGCTTGAATGAATTTGGTTACCCAAAATCTCATAATGAAAGTCATGTCAAAGCATTGGCCCTTTTTTACTAGGAATCCTACGTTAAGGAAAGGTTAACATACCAAGTACACATAGCAACTGTGATGCCCTGGCAGAATGCCAGCCTGAACTTTTAAGGCACATTTAAGGCTGGGAATGTTTATTAAGAACAAACACAATTATTGGGGCCCTGAAGACTCAAGTTCTTCTACCTAATCATTGTGCCTCTTGTGGAAGGAAGTTAGCTCTAAGTGGTGTTGGAAAACAGAATGCGCCCTTGGAGTTTTTCTTGTTATGTATCACCTACATGTTACCTATCTCACTGCCTGGTCCAGTTTCTGAGTCACAGACTGGTCAGGCCCTTATCTATAGAATGACAATCAGGGTGACCTGGCTTTCTATTTCACTTTATAGATATGAAACCTATTCTCATGGGCTATTTAAGAAGCTGGGAATACCTGGGCCAACACCTCTGCCTTTATTTGGAACTCTTCTGTACTACCGCAAGGTGAGTGTGCTTGAGCTCCCTCTATTTTTTCTCCTGAGTACAAATGCCAGTTTAGTGCCATCAGTAAAAATGTTCATCTTCAGGAAAAATTTAGTAGTTTTTATTCTTTGAAAAACCATGTTCAGGCACCTTCTGGAGCATGGCCAGGTTTTCCCTGGAGTTCTGATGTCAACTCTTCAAGAGCCTCAGTAGAACAGCTTGGATCTCAGGTACATTTGCATTTGATCTTCATGATGTTGTTCAGACTTTGAATTCATCATAAAAAGAGATGTTTTACTTGCTGGGTGCACATTTCCAGGAAGATTATATTGTGCTTAGTATTTGAGCAAGAAGTCTGTAAAAGAGGGCATAGTAAACACCTTCAAACACTCCTATTCTTCGCAAGATCTCATGAGTCCCTTTGTAAATAAAAAATCCTCATTAATGTCTTTGAAACTACAGTTTCTGAAGTACCCCAAGCATTCATAAGTTGATAATTTGCACATACTTAATTTTTAAATGTGCAAATACCCTGTGGTTATTTACATGGCTTCACCCAAGTTTTACTTATTGTGACATATTTGGAGGATTTACCAGATGAAACAACAGCATTCTGCATTTCTTCTTATCATTCAAAGAGAACACCCTAGCAGTGAGTCTTAGCAACGAATAAGTATGAATGGGATAAGGTAGCCCTTGTCTATGGATTTCACATAATTAAAGATGTGTATTGTTTTTTAACAAAGGCAGTATAACATATAAAATGAGCAGTAATCACATGATTTAAAAAAATTAAAACTTAAGTTAACTGAATGGAATGTAACATGTTCCACAAGAAATGTGAATTTTCAACAAGCTTTTGTCATTAACCTATTTAGATATCTGACTCAGGGCCTGACTACTGACAGTAATTCATGAACTCAAAACCAAAGCCAGAAAAATAGGCTACACTCTGCTCAGATTATCTCTTCCGAACACTGAGGCTTATTTATCATACTCTAATTCTATAATTTTGAGCAGAATTATAGATCCCCCTGAGAATTATAGACCCCCTGACCCTCTGAGAATTCCATTCTGCTATTCCTGCTGAAAATGCATTATTTCCTATTCACGCTTTCCAGATCAACAGTATACTAGACAGGATGTAAGATCTACATAATTGAGGGTCTCCCTGTGCATCATGAAAACATCATCCCTGAAACATAGCAATAGGAAGATTACTTTTAAAGTGTTAGAAGAAAAAACTTAGAGAAAGTACTTAAGGCATCTCTCCATCTTTTCCACGTTGAGCTGGAAAAATGGAAGGTGACTCCATTTTGACAATCCTTACTTACTCTTTCTCACTCCACAACATGCATAAAAATCACTGTTGTGCTCGTGGTATCCCTCAGAAGCTCATGTGTGAGGCAATGAAAGAAAGTTCAGAAATAAAGTGATTTAATTGTGAAAGCCTTAATCTACACTATTTCCTCAGTAATGATTAACTGGGGGCAACTGTAAGCA